CTTCCATCCATGTATATGGGTAAGATAGTCTAGTTAGCTACATTTTCAGATATTACACGTTTCTAATTTTGTTAGAAAGTCATTTTCATTTAAAGTTAAAGTGTACTGTTAGCTAGCTAGATAACATTAGCTGGCTGGCTCGCTAGTATGATCTGTGTAGTAATTTTGTAATAATTCGTATCTCAGAGCCATTTGCTTTGCTAGTTATAGCCAAATGCCAGTATGATCTGTGTAGTAATTTTGTAATAATTCGTATCTCAGAGCCATTTGCTTTGCTAGTTATAGCCAAATGTTAGCTAGCTAACGTTGAACCTGGTTGGTTAGCTACCTGCAGATTTATGCAGGGTAATAACGTCATGAGTTGGGATTATGGTTCATTGTTTAGCTAGCTAGCTAGCTAGCTAGCTAGCTACATGTCTTAACAAAAGACTCCACTATGCAAGTAACCATTTCAACAGAATGTTCATGATGTCACTGCGACAACAGTTGATAGACGTAGCTGGTAAATTCGCTCTAACTGACAAATTAATAACTTAACAAATTAATAATTAATAAGAATAACTGACAAATTTATGAACGCTCAACACCTGCTGAATATGGCCGGAATCAGTAAACGTTGGTAAAAAAACGTAATTCAATTGTTGCCAGCAGAACAGTTGCAGTCACCAACACTCTGGATAACATAAAAACAGCCTAACCAGCTCTGCTAGGGCGAGTAAAATGGTCAGAGTGAGCTGTTCTCTCATTTGTGTCTGGACATAGCTAGCAAGCTAGCCAACGTTAGCCAGTTAGCTTGGGTGCTTGTTGTTAGTTAAGAACGCTCTTGTCTTGTCAATTACATACACCTGGTTCATATTCCCCTCATTAGTACATGTATAAGTGTTCCCTCTGCCCCCTTGTCCTTGTGGGTGATTGTTTTATGTGAGATGAGTGTAGCTCGGTGGAGCTACCTGTTCTTTGTATTGCCGGGGTATATTTTCGCCGTGTGCCTGTATTTGTTCCAGTGCGCCTGTTTTGCGCACTGGAATGTTGACGCTATCCAGCGTAACTGTGTACTACGGAATAAACTCTGTATTCTGTGATTTACCCTCCTGCGTCTGACTCCTTCAAATCACCTTCTCACACATAGCCTCACATGTGAATCCTTAAGGAAATGGGTGGGGCTAAAGCTTAAAAAGGTGTGAACAATGCTGAATGGGTGTAGACAAAGAAGAGCTCTCCAGTACGTACCAAAACATTCAAGGGCCATTTTCTCAAAAGTGAGGTTACAAATTTATCAACTTTCAAAGCAGAATTACTTTCCCATTGTTCCTCAACTGTAGTGTATGATAAACCATTTTCTAGCTCTTAGTCTCTACTTTTATCCAATGTAAAAAACACAATTTCAAATTTTGCTACATAAGACCGAATCGAGCCGGTCGGTCACAAATGTTTACTACTGAACTTATTTAGGCTAGCCATAATGAAGAGTTTGAATACTTTCAAAAAAACATAATTCCACTTTGACATTTTAAATCAAATCAAATCAAATGTTATTGGTCGCATGCACATATTTAGCAGATGTTATTGTGGGTGTAGCGAAATGCTTGTGTTCCTAGCTCCAACAGTGCAGTAATATCTAACAATTCACACAAATCTCAAGTAGAAGAATTGAATTAAGGAATATATAATATTAGGACGAGCAATGTAGGAGTCTGGAGTATATACACTACCAGTCAAATGTTTGGACACACCTACTCATTCCAGGGTTTTTTCTTTATTTTTACAATTTTCTACATTGTAGAATAATAATACTGAAGACATCAAAACTATGAAATAACACATATGGAATCATGTAGTAACCAAAAAAAAGTGTTAAACAAATCAAAAATATATGTTATATTTGAGATTCTTCAAAGTAGCCACCCTTTGCCTTGAAGATAGCTTTGCACACTCTTGGCATTCTCACAACCACCTTCATGAGGTAGTCACCTGGAATGCATTTCAATTAACAGGTGTGCCTTGTTAAAAGTTAATTTGTGGATTTTATTTCCTTCTTAATGCGTTTGAGCCAATCAGTTGTGTTGTGACAAGGTAGGGGTGGTATACAGAAGATAGCCCTATTTGGTAAAAGGCCAAGTCCATATTATGTCAAGAACAGCTCAAATAAGCAAAGAGAAACGACAAGTACTGTATATGATTGAGTCATCAAAATACATGGACACACAGGCTTTGTTTGACTCCAATTAACAGGTCACAGGCAAAAATGGAAAAGAGTAGAGGGCCTATAGAGCTGCCCTGCAGTACACCACACCCTACATGTTTGACAGAGAGGCTTCCATGAAAGAAAACCCTCTGAGTTCTATTAGATAGATAGCTGTGAATCCGCAATATGGCAGAGGTTGAAAAGCAATAAAATATACATTTTCTCAACAACAGGTTATGGTCAATAATATCAAAGGCAGCACTAAAATCTAACAGTACAGCTCCCACAATCTTCTTATCAATTTCTTTCAACCAATCATCAGTAATTTGTGTCAGTGCAGTATATGTTGAGTGCCCTTCTCTGGACGCATGCTGAAAGTGTTGTCAATTTATTTACAGATAAATAGCATTGTAATTGTTCATACACAATTTGGTTTTGTGATGAATAACCCATCAGATTCAATGAAAGATAGAGTTGAATTTGTATTTTTACCCATAATTTCCATTTAAAATACTTTTCCATCATTCTTTATATGATTGATCTTGGCTTCATAATACAGTTTCTTCTTCTTTTTGTTGAGTTAAGTCACATCATTTCTCAATTTGCAATAAGCCAGCCAGTTAGACTTATTAGCCACTCCTTTTGCCCCGTCTCTTTCAACCATACACTTTTTCAATTCCTCATCAATCCATGGAGCCTTAAAAGTTCTAAAAGTCAGTTTCTTAACAGGTGAATGTTTATCAATAATTGGAAGAGGCAATTTCATAAATTAATCAAGTGCAGCATCTGGATGCTCCTTATTAATCGCATCAGACCTACACATATTTTTTTACATCATCCACATAAGAGTCACAGCAAAATCTTTTGTATGATCTCTGTAAACACTATTTTAGGCCCAGCTTTTGGAACTTCGGCTTTCCTGGATATAGCCACTATATTGTGATCACTGCATCCAATGGGTACAGAAACAGCTTTAGAACAAAGTGAAACAGTATTAGTAAAAATGTGATCAATACATGTGGATGATCTTGTTCCTGTAGTGTTTGTAAACACCCTGTTAGGTTGATTAATAACAACCAGATTACAGGCAATAGTTACAGTGAGAAGCTTCCTCTTGAGCGGACAGCTTGATGAAAACCAGTCAATATTCAGGTCCCCCAAGAAAGTAGACCTCTCTGTTTACATAACACACACATTAACTAGATACTGACTGTTAGCCCTTGGTGGCCTAAAGCAACACCCCAAAAGAAAAGGCTTTAGATGTGCCAGGTGAACCTGCAACCACAACACTTCAATAACACTTGACATAAGATCTTCTCTAAGCATTACAGGGATATGGCTCTGAATATATACAGCGACACCTCCCCCATAAGCATTTCTGTCTCTTCAATAGACGTTATGTCCTTGTATTGCTACTGCTGTATCATCAAATGAATTATCTAAGTGAGTCTCAGACATGGATAATATATTAATGTTATCTGATGTTAGCAAGTTATTGATTTCAATAACCTGATGTCTAAGGCTACATACACTATATTAATATGGGCTATTTTCAGCTCTTTCCTTGGTAGCTTCTCAGAGAACAAACAAAGCTACCAATATGTTACAGTCACTAACAGTTAACCCTGTGTTGCTACCAATATGTTAGTCACTAACAGTTAACCCTGTGTTGCTACCAATATGTTACGTTAATAGTGTGTAAGAGGGTTAGTGAAAGACTCCTTAAATGTGTTCTGACTGTTTTCATAGAGGTGTTATGAATGACTTATGTATTAAGCTGCATTGTTGGCCATTAAGAAAGATAACAAACAAAATATAATATTCTGAAATTAAATAAAGCAGAAGTCCCACATTTTGTCCAGCTCCCGTCTCACTCATCATCAACTTGTCTTCCAGAAGGCGGACTCCTGCTACCAGTTTTTCTTATAACAATGTGTGAGGTGATTAGTGGTCAGGTGTGGTGCTTGGTTGGAACTAAACCCTGCAATACCTATTCACTCCAGGACAAGGGTTAAAAGCCCCTGAACTAACATAATGTGTTCTTATATTATTTACATTTACATTTACGTCATTTAGCAGACGCTCTTATCCAGAGCGACTTACAAATTGGTGCATTCACCTTATAGCCAGTGGGATAACCACTTTACAATGTTTTTTTTTTTTTTTTTTTTTTTGGGGGGGGGGGGGGGGGGGGGGGGGGGTGTAGAAGGATTACTTTATCCTATCTCAGGTATTCCTTAAAGAGGTGGGGTTTCAAATGTCTCCGGAAGGTGGTGAGTGACTCCGCTGTCCTGGCGTCGTGAGGGAGCTTGTTCCACCATTATGATATAGAGTCTTTAGATACAGAATCAACAATATAAATAAAGTTATTGAAATATGAATAGTTATAAGGTTAATGTAATACACAGCTACATGTGTGTTCATATCTCCTTCGGTTATTGTCATAATGTCATAACCTAATACATGTTCATTCGGCTGTGCATTTGCATTGCGTGGGTGCAAATCTTCAATCTATCAGTCTCGCCATATTTCAAGTGTTTTCAACAACGTTTACATGACTGTTTACAGTCCTTCATGTTCAACCTTTTGTTTTGTTTTCAGAAGATGCAGGGCAACAAGAAGCCCATGGTATTTCTGTAATGTATGTAGTGTTCATGTCAGTGTAATAAAACCTTATAAAGACAGAAATACCAACAACAGTAAATGATGGAGACAGTAGTGAACTTTAATGAACTGTGTAGATGGAGGGGGATGGACAGAGAGAGGGAAAGAAAAAGAAAGAAAGAAAGAAAGAAAGAAAGAAAGAAAGAAAGAAAGAAAGAAAGAAAGAAAGAAAGAAAGAAAGAAAGAAAGAAAGAAAGAAAGAAAGAAAGAAAGAAAGAAAGAAAGAATATACAGTTCTATAGATCCACCATTACAGACAGTATACACTAATTGTATCCGTACAGACAGTCTTCACGATTTTCATTGTTACAATGGTGGCAACTCTTTATCTCCTTTAATGTCTTTGGATCCTTGTAAGTGACACAGCGAAATAAATTGATGAATTCATTGATTCTCATGAAGGAGTCAAACACCTGCGTTTTAGTGGGTTTGATCATCAACGAATGGGATATTGTAGGGTTCCAAACTGAGGAGAAGACAAAGGCTTTCTGGTTGTCGTTCCAGGCTCTGAAGACATCCATGAAGGGGAGAATGCTGGTTGCTCCTCCGAGGACGTTACATCTCTCCAGGCAGGGAGAATAGGTGGAGAAGAAGACTATGCACTCGTTACGATTCGCTGCTCTTAGCAGAGTCTGCATTCTGCTGGGGTTGGTTCCATCATGCCACAACAGACGGTACTCAGCATGGTAGGTGTTAGGTGTGGCTGCAATTAACCTGTTTCCTATGTAGACATTACCAGTCATAAGTATTTGCTGAACCTCCTGAGGTTGCACGCCTATGTTAAAGTTTATTACATTTCCGGTGCACTGCTGTTGGGTGAGTCTGACAGCCATGGCATACTGGTGTCCCTCCAGGCCGAACCTATTCAACAGCAGGAGACAGAAGAGACAGAACACAGACATAGAGGAACAGAAAAACGGGTTATTTCTGAAACATTAGTAACAGACAGGAGGAGGACACTCCCGTCTATTTCACCAAAACAAAAGTTTGAATATATGATTATGTGCACTGTTACTTATGCATAAATTATCAGCACCATCTCATGGACAAAGTTAAGAGAGGTCTGAGATAGTGCCCTCCATAATTATTGGGACAGTGACACATTGTTTGTTGTTTTGGCTCTGTACTCCAGCACTTTGGATATGAAATTATACAACGACTGACTATGAGGTTAAAGTGCATATACTACCAATACAGTCTATACTAGCAATACAGTCTATACTAGCAATACAGTCTATACTGGCAATACTGTCTATACTAGCAATACAGTATATACTAGCAATACAGTCTATACTAGCAATACAGTCTATACTAGCAATACAGTCTATACTACCAATACAGTCTATACTAGCAATACAGTCTATACTAGCAATACAGTCTATACTTGCAATACAGTCTATACTAGCAATACAGACTATACTACCAATACAGACTATACTAGCAATACAGTCTATACTACCAATACATACTATACTAGCAATACAGTCTATACTAGCAATACAGTCTATACTGGCAATACAGACTATACTAGCAATACAGTCTATACTAGCAATACAGTCTTTACTAGCAATACAGTCTATACTGCCAATACAGACTATACTAGCAATACAGTCTATACTAGCAATACAGTCTATACTAGCAATACAATCTATACTGGCAATACAGTCTATACTAGCAATACAGTCTATACTAGCAATACAGTCTATACTGGCAATACAGTCTATACTAGCAATACATTCTATACTAGCAATACAGTCTATACTGGCAATACAGTCTATACTAGCAATACAGTCTATACTAGCAATACAGTCTATACTGGCAATACAGTCTATACTAGCAATACAGTCTATACTAGCAATACAGTCTATACTGACAATACAGTCTATACTAGCAATACAGTCTATACTAGCAATACAGTCTATACTAGCAATACAGTCTATACTGGCAATACAGACTATACTAACAATACAGTTTATACTAGCAATACAGTCTATACTAGCAATACAGTCTATACTAGCAATACAGTCTATACTACCAATACAGTCTATACTAGCAATACAGTCTATACTAGCAATACAGTCTATACTGGCAATACAGTCTATACTAGCAATACAGTCTATACTAGCAATACAGTCTATACTACCAATACATACTATACTACCAATACAGTCTATACTACCAATACAGTCTATACTAGCAATACAGTCTATACTACCAATACAGTCTATACTAGCAATACAGTCTATACTAGCAATACAGTCTATACTACCAATACAGTCTATACTAGCAGTACAGACTATACTACCAATACAGTCTATACTACCAATACAGTCTATACTAGCAGTACAGACTATTACTACCAATACAGACTATACTACCAATACAGTCTATACTACCAACACAGTCTATACTACCAATACAGTCTAAACTACCAATACAGTCTATACTAGCAGTACAGACTATACTACCAATACAGACTATATTACCAATACAGTCTATACTACCAATACAGTCTATACTAGCAATACAGTCTATACTACCAATACAGTCTATACTAGCAATACAGTCTATACTAGCAATACAGTCTATACTACCAATTACAGTCTATACTAGCAGTACAGACTATTACTACCAATACAGTCTATACTACCAATACAGTCTATTACTAGCAGTACAGACTATACTACCAATACATACTATACTACCAATACAGTCTATACTACCAATACAGTCTATACTACCAATACAGTCTATACTACCAATACAGTCTATACTACCAATACAGTATATACTAGCAATACAGACTATACTACCAATACAGTCTATACTGGCAATACAGACTATACTACCAATACAGTCTATACTGGCAATACAGTCTATACTACCAATACAGTCTATACTACCAATACAGTCTATACTACCAATACAGTCTATACTACCAATACAGTCTATACTGGCAATACAGTCTATACTACCAATACAGTCTATACTACCAATACAGTCCATACTAGCAGTACAGACTATACTACCAATACAGTCTATACTACCAATACAGTCTATACTAGCAATACAGACTATACTACCAATACAGACTATACTACCAATACAGTCTATACTACCAATACAGTCTATACTACCAATACAGTCTATACTACCAATACAGTCTATACTACCAATACAGTCTATACTAGCAATACAGTCTATACTGGCAATACAGTCTATACTACCAATACAGTCTATACTACCAATACAGTCTATACTAGCAGTACAGACTATACTACCAATACAGTCTATACTACCAATACAGTCTATACTAGCAGTACCGACTATACTACCAATACAGACTATACTACCAATACAGTCTATACTACCAATACAGTCTATACTACCAATACAGTCTATACTACCAATACAGTCTATACTACCAATACAGTCTATACTAGCAGTACAGACTATACTACCAATACAGACTATACTACCAATACAGTCTATACTACCAATACAGTCTATACTAGCAATACAGTCTATACTACCAATACAGTCTATACTAGCAATACAGTCTATACTAGCAATACAGTCTATACTACCAATACAGTCTATACTAGCAGTACAGACTATACTATCAATACAGTCTATACTACCAATACAGTCTATACTAGCAGTACAGACTATACTACCAATACAGACTATACTACCAATACAGTCTATACTACCAATACAGTCTATACTACCAATACAGTCTATACTACCAATACAGTCTATACTACCAATACAGTCTATACTAGCAATACAGACTATACTACCAATACAGTCTATACTACCAATACAGTCTATACTACCAATACAGTCTATACTAGCAGTACAGACTATACTACCAATACAGTCTATACTACCAATACAGTCTAAACTAGCAATACAGACTATACTACCAATACATACTATACTACCAATACAGTCTATACTACCAATACAGTCTATACTACCAATACAGTCTATACTAGCATGCCTGACATGTCATGTCAGTGCTAACTGTGCCACTAGAGATCCTGGTTCGAATCCAGGCTCTGTCGCCGCGGGCCGCGACCGGGAGACTCATGGGCGGCGCACAATTGGCCCAGCGTCGTCCAGGGTAGGGGAGGGAATGGCCGGCAGGGATGTAGCTCAGTTGATAGAGCATGGTGTTTGCAACGCTAGGGTTGTGGGTTCGATTCCCACGGGGGGCCAGTATAAAAAAAATATGTATTCGCTAACTGTAAGTCGCTCTGGATAAGAGCGTCTGCTAAATGACTAAAATGTAAATGTAAATGTTGTCTGCAGCCCAGGGGCTTAATTTACTGGGCTAAGTGTTTGTCCCTGTCACGCCCTGACCTTGAGAGCCTGTTATTCTCTAGTTGGTTTGGTCAGGGTGTGAAAATCTATGTATCTATGTTTAGATTCTATGTTATGTATTTCTACGTTGGCTGGGTGTGGTTCCCAGGCAGCTGTCGATCGTTGTCTCTATTGGGGATCATACTTAGGCAGCCATTTTGCCTACCTTTAGTTGTGGGATCTTGTTTCTGTGTGTTTGGCTTGTTTATGTTAGCCTGTAGAACTTCACGTTTCGTTAGTTTTGTTGTTTTGTTCTGTGTTTTATTCAATAAACGAACGTGTACGCATACCACGCTGCACCTTTGTCTGACCCGTCTCTCAACGAACGTGACAGTCCCAGGTTCACGGTTTGAACATGTTTTTATAACGGTGGACCAAACATTCAAGACAGAACAAAAACATGATATGAAGGTTAAGAAAAATGTTATCTTTGCACCTTCAAATCTCCCCCCAAAATTTTACATTTCAAATAATGCCTAATGATTCTGTCTAACAGACATTTAGGAGTACTTAGACTATGATTGAACAGAGAAACACCCACCTTCTCAGCTCTTGTACCACATTAGCCAAGACCTGTCCATCGATAGCATCCACCTTGCCTCCAGGCCAGAGAGCCAGCAGAAACAGAAGGACCACTCCCATCATAGCTACACACATCTGAAACACACACGATCACACTATATATACACACATCTGAAACACACACGATCACACTATATATACACACACATCTGAAACACACAGGAACACACTATATATACACACATCTGAAACACACAGGAACACACTATATATACACTGAGTATACAAAACATTATCAACACCTGCTCTTTCCATGACAGACTGACCAGGTGAATCCAAGTGAAAGCTATCATCCCTTATTGATGTCACCTTTTAAATCCACTTCAATCAGTGTAGATGAAGGGGAGGAGACAGGTTAAAGAAGGATTGTGAAGCCTTGAGACATTTGAGAAATTGATTGTGTGCCATTCAGAGGGTGAATGGGCAAGATAAAATATTTAAGTGCCTTTGAAAAGGGTATAATAGTTGGTGCCAGGCACACCGGTTTGTGTCAAGAACTGCAACGCTGCTAAGTTTTTCACGCTCAACAGTTTTACCATGTGTATCAAGAATGGTCCACCACCCAAAGGACATCCAGCCAACTTGACACAACTGTGTCCAGGACATAGACATGTATTAGATGGGCAGAAAGCTTAAATTATTGTTAATATAACTGTACTGTCCAATTTACAGTAGCTATTACAGTGAAAAAAGACCATGCTATTGATTGAGGAGAATGCACAACAACAAAAAACGTATCACGGCAACTGGTTTGATACATTCACTTCTGAAAGTAAATAACGTACTTACATTCAGTAATCTTGCTCTGATTTGTCATCCTAAGGGTCCCAGAGAGAAAAAGTAGCATAGTTTTGTTTGATAAAATCAATTTTTATATTCAAATGTAGGAACTGGATTCTACAGTTTGAACCCCTGCTGTCTCTGGCTCCACACCCACCCCGCCCGGCCATCTAGATGTGTGAAAGTTAGTGTATAAGCTAATGATCCATCATGTATGACATTCCTGGGAGTGTGTAAACTTACATTTTGTATTACCATATCATTTTCGTATGTTCTCTATAGTTGTACTTGAAAATGTATCAATTGACCAATTCGGGCACATTTGGGCAGACTTGATAAAGAATTGTCCAGTATTGCAATGCTTCACTGTATCAATCTGAAACTTTGCACACACACTGCTTCCATCTAGTTGCCAAAATCTAAACTTCAATATAATATTGTGGCCTTTCTCTTGCATTTCAAAGGTGATAAAAAAAAAAGTTTTTTCGGGGGGTTTGTATTGTCTTTTACCAGATATAATGTGTTATATTCTCCTACATTAATTTCAGATTTCCACAAACTTCAAAGTGTTTCCTTTCAAATGGTATCAATAATATGTATATCCTTGCTTCAGGTCCTGAGCTACAGGCAGTTAGATTTGGGTATGTCATTTTAGGTGAAAATGGTGGGCTAAAAAGGTCCTAATAAAATAAAATCCATAATTGTGATAAACAGTAAAGATAACATTAGATGTAAGTCAAGTAGAATACACTTACAGAGATTGTAGAAGGCTGCCTGATGTCCTCTAGATTGTAGAAGGCTGCCTGATGTCCTCTAGATTGTAGAAGGCTGCCTGATGTCCTCTAGATTGTAGATGGCTGCCTGATGTCCTCTATCCAAGACAAAACAGATAAAGGTTAACTCAAGTTATGGAAAACATCTTTAAACACACTTAGACATTTTCTTTATTCCAAACAGCAGAACAACAGTTAACACATTTAGTTTGGAGAGAAGGTAAGCACAAATACAGCCAGGTACCTGTTGAAGTCTTGTTGCTGTGTCCATGTGAGCAGCGCTTTATAGCGTCTTCATGTCTCAATATTTATCTAGGGGAAGGGAGGGCAAAGGGAGGGACAGAGGCTGCTGGTATCATTACCATATTTATCCAGGGAGGGACAGGTGATGCAATAGCTTTACTGGAAATAGACAGTTATTATTGACCTGGTGACAGAGTTGCTGTTAATTTCTTGCTACTTTCTTTAGATTTATGTTTTGTTTTATTCACATATTATCTCTTTCAGTGTATACATCTGCAAAATATGTTGTCTGTAAAGCCTATTGTCTCTGTCAATCCCAATAGTTATTTATATGTTTAATACAAAATTGTTAATAAAAACATGACTGCCTTATGTACCCCCTCCAAGTAAAATTCCATGTCTGCCATTTAGAAGAAAATATATATACAGTACCAGTCAAGAGTTTGGACAAACCTACTCATTCAAGGGTTTTTCTTTATTTTCACTATTTTCTACATTGTAGAATAATAGTGAAGACATCAAAACTATGAAATAACACATATTGAATCATGTAGTAACCAAAAAAGTATTGAACAAATCAAATATATTTTAGATTTTAGATTAATCAAAATAGCCACCCTTTGCCTTGATGACAGCTTTGCAGCTCTTGACATTCTCTCAACCAATTCTGTCCGAATGCACTGTAGTTTGAAAATGTATGCACTTACTAACTGTAAGTCGCTCAGGATAAGAGCGTCTGCTAAATGACTAAAATGTAAATGTAAAATGTACTCTGACCCGCATTCTTCCGTCTTCTACGGAATTAAAATGACATAATTCACTAAGAAATTCATGATAATTCCAAGGACTTTACCAAGTAACATCATGCCACATTGAAAGATTACAAGAGAGGATACACAGCACTCAATGCACACAGTCACTAACCGTTAACCCTGTGCAGCTACCAACACATTACAGTCACTAACCATTAACCCTGTGCAGCTACCAACACATTACAGTCACTAACCATTAACCCTGTGCTGCTACCAACACATTACAGTCACTAACCATTAACCCTGTGCAGCTACCAACACATTACAGTCACTAACCATTAACCCTGTGCTGCTACCAACACATTACAGTCACTAACCATTAACACTGTGCAGCTACCAACACATTACAGTCACTAACCATTAACCCTGTGCTGCTACCAACACATTACAGTCACTAACCATTAACCCTGTGCTGCTACCAACACATTACAGTCACTAACCATTAACCCTGTGCAGCTACCAACACATTACAGTCACTAACCATTAACCCTGTGCTGCTACCAACACATTACAGTCACTAACCATTAACCCTGTGCAGCTACCAACACATTACAGTCACTAACCATTAACCCTGTGCTGATACCAACACATTACAGTCACTAACCATTAACCCTGTGCTGCTACCAACACATTACAGTCACTAACCATTAACCCTGTGTTGCTACCAACACATTACAGTCACTAACCATTAACCCTGTGCTGCTATCAACACATAACAGTCACTAACCATTAACCCTGTGCTGCTACCAACACATTACAGTCACTAACCATTAACCCTGTGCTGCTACCAACATATTACAGTCACTAACCATTAACCCTGTGCAGCTACCAACACATTACAGTCACTAACCATTAACCCTGTGCTGCTACCAACACATTACAGTCACTAACCATTAACCCTGTGCTGCTACCAACACATTACAGTCACTAACCATTAACCCTGTGTTGCTACCAACACATTACAGTCACGAACCATTAACCCTGTGCTGCTATCAACACATAACAGTCACTAACCATTAACCCTGTGCTGCTACCAACACATTACAGTCACTAACCATTAACCCTGTGCTGCTATCAACACATAACAGTCACTAACCATTAACCCTGTGCTGCTCCCAACATGTTACAGTCACTAACCATTAACCGTGTGCTGCTACTGTTGTTTATAAAGAATAATGCTAATCTTTGCTGTGAGACCAAGGAGTCCGCTTACACTGTACTTTGATTATAAAGGTTTATTTATATCACAAGATTTCAGCATAAGTTTACAGATGTCTGCAGGCATCTGGAGAACAGCGACCCAAAATATTATGTTTGTTCTGACTTCCTTTGTCTCAACCAAGTATTTTATAATCTTTACCATGATATGGGTGGTTTCCCATACAGACCAATCACCTGTCTCCACACAACATACTTCCTCTGTTCTATGGGGTGCCCCCATGAAACTGCTCCCCAGATGCTCCTCTAAGCTGAATAAACATCCTCTCAGATACCATTTGAAAATGTTAGCAAAGTCATAAATTCCTCAGATACCACACTGCCAACATGTTACAGCCACTAACCATTAACCGTGTGCTGCTACCAACACGTTACAGTCACTAACCGTTAACCCTGTGATGCTACCAACACATTACAGTCACTAACCGTTAACCCTGTATTTGTATTTTGTATTTGTATTTATTATGGATCCTAATTAGCTGCTGCTCAGGTTTCTCCATTGAACAAAGAGACAGGATGTATTTTATATCCAAGCCTAACCTGTGGTTGACCAATTAGAATTCATTGCAGTAAAATTGGGCCAATGGCCCAATACAAAGTATTCCGTTTCAGCTTCAATGTATACAGTGAGGTAAATAAGTAGTTGATCCCCTGCTGATTTTGTATGTTTGCCCACTGACAAAGAAATGATCAGTCTATAATTTTAATGGTAGGTTTATTTGAACAGTGAGACAGAATAACAACAAAAAAATCCAGAAAAACTCATGTCAAAAATGTTATAAATTGATTTGCATTTTAATGAGGGAAATAAGTATTTGACCCCTCTGCAAAACATGACTTAGTACTTGGTGGCAAAACCCTTGTTGGCAATCACAGAGGTCAGTCGTTTCTTGTAGTTGGCCACCAGGTTTGCACACATCTCAGGAGGGATTTTGTCCCACTCCTCTTTGCAGATCTTCTCCAAGTCATTAAGGTTTCTAGGCTGACGTTTGGCAACTCAAACCTTCAGCTCCCCCACAGATTGTCTATGGGATTAAGGTCTGGAGACTGGCTAGGCCACTCCAGGACCTTAATGTGCTTCTTCTTGAGCCACTCCTTTGTTGCCTTGGCCGTGTGTTTTGGGTCATTGTCATGCTAGAATACCCATCCACGACCTATTTTCAATGCCCTGGCTGAGGGAAGGAGGTTTTCACCCAAGATTTGACAGTATATGGCCCCGTCCATCGTCCCTTTGATGCGGTGAAGTTGT